TGTCTAAATAGCGGAGTCAGGGTGAAGGGAAAATTGCCAATGAACTTTCAGCAATCTGTGAGTTGGCCACCAAACATGAAGTCTAGTTCCTGGAAAGGAGAATTAACAGAGGTAGTGAATTTCTTCTATCCCCAAACATGCTCTTGGATGTTTTGGAAGAAAGGTCAGGGGCTTAGGCTAGTAAACTATATAAGGACCAAGTCCAGTCTGTGGTCTCTGCATGTCCCTCAAGCAAAGTACTTTTTTTTTTGTATTTTTAAATAGTTAAAAAAACCAAACTAATATTTTGTGATAATGGAAGTTCATATCTAAGTGTCCATAAATGAATTTTTATTGGAACATACTTAAAATAATTTACTGACATATATCATCTGTGTCTGCTTTCGTGCTACAGTGGGAGAGCTGAGTAACTGTGGCGGGGACTCTGGCCTAAATATTGCCTGGCTCTTAAATTTAGTACTCTCTGGGCTAGTGGTATACTGATAGAAAGTTTAGTTGAGGGAGGAATCAGATCCTTAGCAACAGAGACTTAGGAAAACATTATATTCAAGATGGACATTTCAGTCTTAAAGCTGATGTGACATCTTTCAGGTGGGGGCACCTTAGGTCTCAGATAGTGACACTGTTCTCTATGCGGCTTGGCTTCAGGTATTCATAAGGCAGGTCAAGTTGCTCATTCCGAGCTGTAATCTCATTTTCCAGGTTTTTCAGATCTGTTTGGAATTGGCTTAACACAGCTTTAGCCTGGGGGTCTGAGAAATATTCTTCTTTGTGATGCCCCAGAGGTACCTAAGAAGGAACAAAGGATTAGTTTCTAGTCTGAAGACAGAAGCACCTAGAGCCCATTCCCTAACTCTGATTTTCCTTTCCAACTGTAATTTTCTTCTCCCGAGGGTTCCCTTCTCACCATGTCTGGCTGGCGGCGTCCCAGATGCCATGTGATGGTCATTTGAAGACAGGACTGCCGGATATCAGGTAGTGACCCCATCACTGTGGCCAATGTTACATCTTCCTTGGTGGTGGGTGGGGGCATCCGCATTGTGCAAGGGGCGTTAGGGACCCAGGCATACCAGTCCAGCTGGGGGAAGAAACTGTAATCCTAGACTCCTGGCACTTAGGGCTTGAATCCCTCTCTCACCCTTCGATCTCCCAAGATCCAGACACTTGCCTTCAGGAACCTGGGCTTTCAACTATCCATACCTGGCCCTGGTTGATGGCCCCATGCTGGGCAGTGCATGTGAAGACACACATGGTAAGGAAATGGCAGAGTTGAGCCCGGGACTGGAGAGAGATAGGGAAACCTGGGCAGAAAAGGAACAGGATTTAGAGGCTTCAGTATAATAGGAAAGAAATTAAGGCTGATGCCTTAGTAGGTCTGTATTTTAGAATTGATAGGTGTTTGTTTATTTACTTAGGTATGTTTGTGTCAGACATGAATTTCTAGGGAGAGTTTGAGAAAGGCTATTTCTTTCTTGGAGATGAAAGTGTAGTGTGTGTGTGTGTGTGTGTGTGTGTGTGTGTGTGTGTACACGCGCGTGCGCGTGCGCACACACACACACACATAGAGGAGTTGAGATAAACTAAGGTACTTTCTAGAGAGAGGACAAGATTGACCAATGAACTTGAGTCCCAAAGATCAGGGAATTAACTTCAGGTTTAAGCCACAACATATATAGTACTGAGGTTACATCTGGAAATGACCTTGCACTTTGGCAAGTATGAAAATACCTGGCTCTTCTGCATGGTGGATAGTAGCATATAGGAAAAAGGAAGAGGGCCAGGTTGGGTTATTATAGGCTTTAGTGGTAAACTTTTCCTATTTATATCTTCAGGCAGTACCTGAATGGGGGTACCACAAAGATAACATGTGAGTCCCAGCATGGACAGAACCCTTCACTGGCTCTGCCCTGGTTGGTTCCTAGGCCGTGGCAGGGCATCTATGACTGAGGTGGGGACAGGAGTAGGGGTTGATGGCCAGGGTCTCTGAGGAGGACAGTCCATGGGTATTTAGAATTTTCCTGAGTCTTAAGATGTGTGACTGGAATTTGTGTGTGGAGGGAGGGATATGATACTGGGTTGAGGTTCTGTCTCAGAGGGACAGGGCTGGGAAAGGGCTCTTGCAGTGTCTGAGGAGCTCCTGTCTTTGAGATGGATCTTACCTCTGTCCTGGGCCTGGCATAGCCCCACCTCTGTGATCTCTCGACACCAGGCCTGCAGCTCAGGGTCCCCCCTAACGATGTCATCCTTCTGGTAGAAGAGGTGGATGATCCCTTCCACATACCTGCCCAGAGAAGGGAGCTGAGCTCTCTCATGGCAGAGAGCTCCAGTCTCTGACCTCTATTCCTCTATGCTGTGGCCTCAGATCAACTGACTGAATCGGTACCTGAACAGATCCTATCAGACTTACTTTGGGACATTCTCCAGGGTTTAGTTTAAAAATTTTCTTTTGAGGTGCTGGGTATGGAAGTAGGGCCTCAGACAGGCTTGGCAAGTGCTCTACCACTTAGCTATACCCACAGCCCTCCCCAGGTTTTTGACATATTAGCATAAAGGAAGGAGATGTAGTTTACTAGTTCTAGGTATCCTCTGTGTATGGCTACTATCTATTATTCCTAGTAAAACCCTGATTCTTCCAGATCCCTCAGTCTCTACACTCACAGCTCTCCTCACCTGTGTACTGCACCCCTATCTCTTCATTTTTAGACCTCACCATCTCTTCATTTTTCCTTTTCTCTCTCTCCCAGCTTTTTCCCCATGCTGACCTGAAGCCAGAGCCCTACCCTCCCTCTCCCACCCATTTTTCAGCTCCTTCTACTCACCGGGCAATGATCTCCCAAAGCTGTAAAGCATCATGGGCATAGAGGGCACTTGGGATTCCCAGTAGGCCCCGGTCAGCCAGATCATCAGGAGGACAGAGGGAACAGTAGGTCAGCTGAGCCATTGCCCGGTGGAGCAACTGCACATGGCCCCCTCCACCTGTGTTTGCTGCCTGGGATAAGAATTGACAGGGCTTGAGGGATGGAAGCAGAACCAGAGAATGATAGCCTGTTATGCAGGAAGTTCAAGATGGGGTTTATAAATTTAAAGACATGTATATAAAAGGACAGGACTTACAGTTAAGGGTCAGGACATTCTCATATGTCATCTGGAGTGCTGAAAATGGCAGAAGATTGCAGAGAGCTGGGTGATTAGGCAGCTCTGTACTGTATTCCTTCCTTACCTGATCAAATAATCCTCCATCTGAAATGAGCTGGGTTCGGGCCCGGGTGTTGATTTCCAAAGTATAGCGGATATGGGGGACCAGGAGCTGGAGTGGAAAATGTTGGAGGGCAGTTAATGGAAGCTATGTTTGGGTCCTTCATTGTAGGGCCTGGCACCCATCATGGTGGTCTGCTCCCTTATTGATGCTTTCATCCCTCTTGCTTCCTTGGTCTGTTTCTCTGATCAGTCTCATGTTCTTTAACTTCCTTGTGAGTCAGGCTCTGGAGCCACTTTGCCTTTGATACTAGGCCAAGTTTATAACCTCTCATCTACAATCTCCTCTTCTGTCAGTAGGGGGCAATAATAGGATCTCTTATCTCAGGGAGCTTTGGTGACGTCTGTGATTATGTGAGTGATGTGTGAAGAGTTGATAGAACATCCAGAAATTCTCCAATAATAACTGTTATCATTCTCTTTATTATTCCTACCTTGATTATAGGTGTACCCTATGAATCAGATCCTTTTGACTTTCTTTTATATTCTACAAACCTCATCCTCATACCTTAAACTAGCCTTTTTACATCTCTTTGTCATGTCACTATTGGTTTTGTTTTGTGGGTAGTTTGAGCAAGTAGTTTCAGTCAGAATTAGAGGGCTACATTGATCTACCTGCTTAAAGGAGCAGAGGGGCTGCTGTCAAATCTGTCCCCACTGCCACCTGGACACTGTTCAGCTACCTCTTTCCTGCTTTTCCTTGCCTATTAAAATAGGCTACGTGAGATGCTGGGATTGTAGTTCAGTGGTAGAATGCTTGCCTAGCATGTGTGAGGCACTGGGTTTGATCTGAGGATCAGACCACATAAAAATAAATAAAATAAAAGCATTGTGTCTATCTACAATAAAAAAAAAAAAGGCTACCTGAACCTGGGACTTGCCTTTAACCTTAGCAACTTGGAAGGCTTGAGAAGCATTACAAATTTGAGGTCAGCCTTAGCAACTTAGTGAGACTGTATCTCAAAATAAAAAATTAAAAAGGCTGTGGATGTAGCTCAGTGGTAACCCTGCCCCCCACACATGTTTCTTTGTACCTTAGATTTATTTGTCTTCCTTTCTACCCAATTAATTTGCAGGTTTCATCCAATTTTGGTATTTATCTGAATTGTTGATGCTGGACACAGGAGAAACCCAAGTGATCATTATGTTATTAAGGTATCAAAGCAGCTTACATTAGTATGAAACTTTTCAGAAAGTTCATGAAAGATGCTGAATGTCATGGAAGGCCCAAAGTCCACATGAGGAGAGAAGATGCCTGAGGACAAACAACTCCTAATAATAATAAATGTAAGAACTATTTTTTTTTGTAGCATGTAGTACATGTTACATGATTGTTTTATGCCATTTTATCCTTTAACAACCCCATGAGGGACATCCTGTTATTCTCATTTAAATATGTAGACATTGGTAAGTACTGAAGCTAGGATTCAGGATTGCGACCCTAGCCATCAAAAGGTGGCCATTTTGATGATTGCAGGCTTCACCCTCCTATGTATCCTATAACAACTCAGCTATTTGCCATGAGAAGAAATTGTTAATGGTGAGTGATGACATTGTAGGATTGAGCTATAAAGGAGAATTATAAGTCTGAATTAAGGTTTCACTTAATAATATTGAGCAGAAGATGATGATGCAGGAGGCATCATGTGACAAATAAATTCCAAGATCCTTTTAAACATACTGGTCTCCATCTTGTCTATGTTCCAAAGAGGTGACCTTCAGGGGTCACAGCTATATTGGCCAAGGTTGGGAGGTCCAGATGGATGTCTTCAGCTGAAACAGTTCAGTTGTTCTCCATACCAAGTGCTTACTTGCATATCTTGCCAATACTTCAAACTCCTTGTTGCTTAAATCAAATATCTCATTTTACCCCCAAAACTAGCTTCTTTTAACTTTTCTATTACTCTGTTTCAAAGTTTCTGTCATTTTGTGCCCTTCTCTGCCATGTTCCTTATCTGAAAGTGTCATTGAGATTTTGAGAACATTTTCAAGCAAGCATAAGTCTTACTTAGCTGTCTTCTGCCTAGCAGTAAACACTACATTGTTTCATAAAATTATAGTATTTCTAGGTCAGTACAACACATGGCACAAACTATGGGCTCCTACATGTCTCACAGAAGCTTGAACTTTTGATTTTTCTCTTTCCAGTCTTGCATCCGGACATGTTACAACTTTTCTTTTTCCTTTATTTACCATGTTTTTGATTTTTCATTTTTACTCCTGTGTAATGAAGCCACTAGTGCACATCTTTACCTGCTTTACTCTTGGGCTTATCTCCTTGTATTCTGATCTTTTGCTACTTAGCTGACTACTCTCTTGGGGTGGAACATTCTCCATCAGTTTATAGGTTGTCTCTTGTGATTTCAAACTTTAATTCCAGAAATTGTTCTTGATTGGTTCTTGGGGGCTTCTTCCTGGCAAAATATTAAATCTCCTAAGGTAGGAATAAAGCCTTTGTATTACTCCAAGGTATAAATAAGACTTTTATTTTACTAATGACATTCCATCTATACTGCAAGCTGATTCCTAGGCTGTTAGATCTTTGACAATTTCAGAGGGCTCCCTTATAACGTGTCTGAAGGAGTTAGGATAAGAGTAGAGCCTGTACCTTGAAAACAGGGTGCAGTTCTGGGAGGCACCTCATAGTAGCAACAGCGATGACCTCAGCCACCAAATGAGTGTTCAGCAAATGATACTGGAGCTGGTGCAGTTGGAAATCTGAATTTCGGACCCAAGACTTGGCCAGGAGCCAGGCAAGTGGAGGATCTGATGGCAGGAACAGTGTTGGGGTTGGGAAGCTGGGATTGGGAGGTTGAATCTGGGAGAAAGAAAAATCGAGTATTTATTGAACTATCAACTTTTGTATGACACAATCAGTATTTCTGAGGAAACAGGTGACTAAGCAAGACTGTTGCCTTCTAGAGGGTTATAATGTAGTAGGAGTAATAAGAATCCTTCCTCTCCTCACTGGCTATGATTTTGTGGTCTTGTTGAATGCAGGAGAAACTGGAAGCAGGGAGTCCAGTAAGGAGGTTCTAGCAGTCTTTTAGGAGAAATAGGATGGGAATCAGAGCTCAGGTGGCAGAGAGGGAAGCAGAAGTTGGATGCGTACAATTATTGACAATGATAATAATTAACTGATTGTTTGATGGGAATAGTGAGAAAAAGGGTTATCCAAGAGAATATATATTCAGAATTAGAGGATGCTTAGAGATTAAATAATAGTTCAAAAAGTGTGCTCTGAGATGGAGAATCAGCATTATTTTGGAACTTGTAAGGAATGAATATTCTCTGTGCCTACCCCCAGACACTAAATCAGAAAGTCTAGTGGTGGCATTGAAGACCCTGTGTTTTAACAAACACTTGAGGTGATTCGGAAGCATACTAATGTTTGACAACTGATAGGTATAAGATGAGGATTCGAAGAGGCCATTATGATTCTTGAATAAGTATTTCCATTAGGTACATTGGGAAGACCAGGCTGTGAGCTGTGACATGAAGGTAGGTCTTGGTGTGGATGGGATTTGAGAGGCCAAAGTTAAGGGTTTGGGTCCTTAGGAGCAAAGGTTGATGTGAACAGAGAAGTGGGAATGAGATGCTCAGGGGGCCTCACCTGGATGACCATGGGTAACAGCTTTCCATTGGGCTCCATCTTCAGCATGACAAGGGGGGCAGCCAGATACTGCTTCTCTCCTTGGATCACATTGGCTGGAATTCCATCCAGCAGGATAAAGTCAGCCTCAAATAGGGAACCATTCTAGAGAAAGGAGGAATGTATCCATTTGAGAGTTCAAAAATCTATTCATAAAGAGAATCAATCTGACAAAAGAAGTAAAAGACCTCTACAATGAAAACTACAGAACACTAAAGAAATAAATTGAAGACGACCTTAGAAGATGGAAAGATCTCCCATGTCCTTGGATAGGCAGAATTAATATTGTCAAAATGGCCATACTGCCAAAAATGCTATACAATTTTAATGCAATTCCTATTAAAATTCCAGTGACATTCTTCATAGAATAGAAAAAGCAATCATGAAATTCACTTGGAAAAATCAGAGGCTCCAAATAGCCAAAGCAATCCTTAGTGAGAAAAGCAAAGCAGAAGGCATCACAATATCAGACCTTAAATTATACTACAGAGCTATAGTAACAAAAAATGGCATGGTATGGGCACCAAAACAGACATGAAAACCAATGGAACAGAATAGGAGACAAGATACAAACCCACATAAATAAAGTTATCTCATATTAGACAAAGGCACCATCAACATACATTGGAGAAAAGACAACCTATTCAACAAATGGTGCCACGAAAGCTGGAAATCCATATGTAGTAGAATGAAATTTAACCCGTCTCTCACCCTGCACAAAACTCAAAAGTGGATCAAGGACCTAGGCTTTAGACCAGAGACTCTGAACCTCCTAGAAGAAAGTGTAGGCCCAACTCTTTATCATGTCAGTTCAAGAACCAACTTCCTCAACAAAACTCGTAAAAGTGCAAGAAGTAAAATCTAGAAAAACTAAATGGGATGGTATCAAACTAAAAAGCTTCACAGCAAAAGAAATAATCAAGAACATTAAGAGAGAACCAACAGAATGGGAGAAAATCGTTGCTACTTGCACCTCAGATAAAGCATTAATCTCCAGGATATACAAAGAACTCAAAAAACTTAACACCAAAACAGAAAACAGACAAACAAACAAATAACCCAATCAATAAATGAGCAAAGAAACTGAACAAGCACTTCACAGAAGAAGAAATATGAATGGTCAACAAATTTATGAAAAAATGTTCAATATCACTAGCAATTAGAAAAATACCAATTAAAATTATAGTGTGATTCCATCTCACTACAGTCATAATGGAAATTATCAAGAATATAACAGTAAATGCTAGTGAGGATGTGGGGACAAAGGAACACAAATTGGATCAACCATTCTGGAAAGCAGTATAGCGATTCCTCAGAAAACTTGGAATGGAGCCACCATTTGACCCGGTTATCCAATTCCTTGGTTTGTAACCAAAGGATGTAAAATCAGTATACTGCAGTGACACAGTCACATCAATGCTTATAGTGCTCAATTCACAGTAGCTAAGCTATGGAACCAACATAAGTGCCCTTCAACAGATGAGTGGAAAAAGAAAATGTGGTGTATATATACATAGTGGAATATTACTCAGCCATAAAAAGAATGATGTAATGACTTTTGCCTTTAAATGGATGGGTCTGGAGACTATCATGCTAAGTGAAATAAGCCAATCCCCAAAAACCAAAGGCTGAATGTTCTCTCTGATATGTGAATGCTAATACACAATAAGTGAGGTAGGGAAGAATAGAAGTTCAGTGGATTAGACAAGGGGGGATGAAGGGAAGGAAGGAGGATGGAAATAGGAAAAACAGCAGACTGAATAGGACATAACTTTCATATGTTCACATATGAATATATGCCACCAGTGAAATGAGATACTAATTAGAATAAGTTATATTCCATATATGTATAACATCAAAATACACTGTACTATCATGTATGTCTAAAAATAACAAATAAAAAAATTATATCCCTAAAGGGTCAGGGCAAAGGGCAAAACATTTGAAGACATTCAGTCCAGCTTAGCATCCTGCATCAGTTCCAGAGCCCTATTGGCAGAGCCCTATTGGTCCAATTCCTCTCATTTTAAAGTGAAGAAACAACCTAGTGAGGATAGATCTCTTGTGCAGGGATATGTAGTAGCAGATCTGGGTTCAGATCTAGGCCCATTTAATCCAATGGCATAGGTGTTATCAACTGATCCCTTGTCCAGGTGGCCAGACCCCTACTCTGTCATCCCCTAATGGTCTGTCTCTGCTTTTGGCTCCCATCAGCTCAGCCATCCCTCTTCCACTCCCTATATAAATCTTACCTCCTCTGCCAAACATTCTACAGAGCTTCCCCCTGGATCCCACTACCACTGAATACAGCACACAGGCACGCATTTACACAAGATTCTGCCTGGACTCGGCCTCCTCATGTTCAGTTCATCTGTCCCAAATTCATCTCCTCCCTCACTCCCCATAAAATCTTCCTGAATTTCTCCATCTGTTGGCACAGGCTTTTTTTTTTCTTTTCTTTTTTTTTTTTGTGACCATGAATACTGGAGTCCAGGACACTGACATCAGCCAGGAATGTCATAGTTCCTCCTAACATCTTTGGCCCCCATCTGTGCCCTGAGGTGCCTCCTATTTCTCTGTTTATGCTGGGAGTTCTTAAAAGTTTTTCCCCCAATACTTGGTCATTTCTAGACTT